GAGGAAGGGAGAGGGAGAAAGAGATAGAAACATCAATGATGAGAGAGAATCATTGACTGGCTGCCTCTTCCACACCCCACACTGGGGATTGAGCCTACAACCCAGGCATATGCCCTTGACTGGAATCAAACCTGGGACCCTTCAGTTCACAGGCTGACACTCTATCCACTGAGTCAAATCAGCTAGGGCAACAAATACATTTCTAATGGCCACATACTCTCCCTCTATATGGAGACACTGCACTTTAATCACTTATTTAGAGACAACCAGGCCACTTTAGTTTCTTACTACTATGAACAGTATTGATATAAATATCTTTTGACACTTTCTAATTATTTCTTGACAATAATTTTCTAAAAGTTAATATGGTATCAAGGCCATGTACTTTTATAAAAGGCTTTTGGTTCATATTATCAAAATATTCTCCATAATGTTTGGCCCACTTTAAATTGCCCATTTTTTTCTGTTAGGCTATTCTTGTTCATATTGATTTTTAAGATGTATTTATATAACAATAACACTATAACCTCTCTGTCTATCATGTATTACCTTGTTTTTCCCAGTTTATCATTTGCTTTTAATATTAATGTTTTAGAATATAAAGTTTTCCTTTTTAGTTTCTACCTTTAGATTTTCCCTACTATTAATTCCCAAAGCATTGACCTTTGTATCCTAGTATTTTTGTGATTACATTTATATCTTTAATCCACCTTATATACATATGAATAAGTATAATCAAATAAAATTTAATTTTCACTTTTGAGGAAATTATTGAGATGAAAGGATTAGGCCCTATGTTTACTTGCTTCTTTCTCATCGACACACCCCTCATCTAGGAAGCACAACTCTACAAGTAGAGGTGAGAGAAGCCAAATTTCATTCCTCTTCCTTTAGAATTCCCAGAATTTACACTAATATAACTACATTAACAACATACAGGAAAATTGTATAGTCAGTAGAACTATGACTCTGTAACTCCCTGTCAGCTCAGGAACCACTATACGCCTAGGAAATATACATGATGCTCCATGCCACTATACACACTGGAAAGTAGCAAAGCCACTGTCATGCCCTAGAAAAGTTCCCCAATACCCCACATGCCCTCTCTATTCTGAGATCCCCATCTCCAGCCAGTAGATTAGAGAGCAATAAATATCTCATCCAAGTATTGCATAAACTTCCCTTGAGCCCTTAAGAAGTAACAGCTTCAGTTGCCAAGATATTTGGTATCACACGATGAATAAAGATTTGTAATAGGGGGTTTTGATCTTCAAAGATTCTAAGAACAATGTTCGCTTGTAAGTTTAGCCTCTATTTAAAGTTAAGACACGATAGTCAAGAACTCCACAAAAGAGGCAAGCCACGGCCTGTGTCATGCTGTGGAATTTAGTGATCCTAACTGTGTCATAGCGACATGCTTCTCATTGTTTAGAGATTACAGCTGACTACTTTAAGTTCATTGAAGCCACCCCTAAATAAAATATGATCTAACGAATTTCATGTTACCTAGGCCGTTCAGAAACCAAAACAAAATCTATCACCTGCTGAAAAACAATTAATGTGATTTTTCTTGATATTAGAGCAAAATGCCAAATATTTTAGGTCTATAATTATTGTTCATGCCCCAAGCCCTATCCCTTTACAACACATTTCATTAACAACCAACTTTTAAATAGTAAAGCTATTTTAAAGACTATATAACTTTACAAGTAAACATTCATTATAGAATGTGTGTAATCAAGGAGGAACAGAGTTAGAGAGAAGGTTGGCTAGGGAAGCAAGGGGCAGATTACCAGTGTATATCAAGTAGGAAGTGGAAAAAAGGTGGATTTTATTCTTAGTGCAATCCTTGATAGGTTTTAGTAGGAATGCAGGTAGGGATTACAATCAAAATAGAAAATGTTCAAATAGTTAAAAAC